AGGTAGGTAGGTAGGTAGGTAGGTAGGTAGGTAGATAGATAGATAGATAGATAGATAGATAGACAGACAGACAGACAGACAGACAGACAGACACAGGATAAATACATAATAGATGATAGAAATGATGATATACAGTAGATAGATAGACAGACAGACAGACAGACAGACAGGATAAATACATAATAGATGATAGAAATGATGAGATATAGATAGATAGATAGATAGATAGATAGATAGATAGATAGATAGATAGATAGATAGATGATAGATAGATAGATATAACACATTTAAAACATACCGTATACAACGTATGCATAGACCTACACCCTTACGTATAAGTAACATATAAATATTTTTTTCTTTGGTGTCAGCACCAATCAGTGGGCTGAGCTGCCCGTATGAGCCGAAGAAAGAGACGGGAACATTTAAAGGCAGTCCTCGACTTAACGACAGTTCATTTAGTGACCTTTTGAAATTACAACAGGATTGAAAAAAGTCACTGAGGACTGTTTTTCACGCTTAGGACCATTGCAGCATCCCCATAGTCACGCGATGCTTGGAAACTGACTTGTACTTATGACGGTCGCAGCATCCCGGGGTCATGTGATCTCCTTTTGCGACCTTCTGACCAGCAAAGTCAATGTGGGGGGGAGCCAGGTTCACCTAACAAGCCGTGTTCCTAACTTAACAACCGCAGGGGTTCATTTAACAACATTGGCAAGAAATGGGCCAAAAATTCACTTAACAACTGTCTCACAGAGCCGTGGAAATGTGGTCATAACTTGAGGACTGTATTCTCTCTTCCTGCAGGATTCATGGGTTATGCTCCCTACCTCAGCCGGCTTGTGGCCGACTGGCAAGGCCGTGACAGTGAGAGCGACCAGCTGTTTTATACCAACGTGTTCCTGGACCCTGAAAAGCGGGTGAGCCCTGACTGCATAGGCCCCACGTGCTCTAGGGGGGAGAGGATTGGGGGCTGACCAGGAAATGCAGCACATATGCAGAGTCTGGCAGGCCCAGAGGGTATACATCAGATGGGGACACGGCTTTGGCCTTGCGTGTCTATGGGGATTCTCAGTCATCCAGGGTCATGGTCGTCCCAAAGGTGCTTTTTCACGAGACAAAGAAAAAAAACAGGGAAGTCCAGTTTCCTCCTGAAAAAAAAAAGATCTTTGGGACAACCAAGACCCTGGATGACGGAGAATCTCCATGGACCAGGGGTGTCAAACTCAATTTCACTGAGGGCTGCATCAGCATTGCTGTTGCCCTGGGGGGGCTGGGTGTGTGTGGCCAGAGTGGGTGTGGCCTACTGGGTGGGCGTGGCCAGTTCTACATCATTTGCATCAAGGGTGCCTGTCGGGGGCCTGGGCAGGAGTGGGACAGATCTGAGGGTCTCCGGCACAAGGGGGTGAGACCGGGGCAAGTGCCAAGGCATGGTCCACTGGGGCAAGTGCCAAGATGGCCACCACAAAATTGTACATTGGCTCCCGGCCGGCCAGGGCTTGGGCCAAGGCATCGCGGGCCGTTCCCTCACTGTTTCCAGGACGGCTTCGCGGGCCACATGAAACCATTTCGCGGGCCGCATCCGGCCCCCGGGCCTTGCGTTTGACATGTCTGCCATAGACATTGAGCCATGCACTTTGGGATGAACGCCCTTCGAAGGGTGTGGGAGTGTGAACAGATTTCCAGAAAATATTGCAGACTCCAGGAACAGGGCAGAAAGCATCTTGCAGCCAAGAAGGCTCCACACCCCTTTGCATTACTCAGGTGACCCTGAGGACACAGACCAACCTCCAAGTGGCCTCAACAGCTCTCTACAAGAAGGCAAATGACCAGCGGTCTGCAGGGAGTATAAATCTTTCCATTCCTCACTATCCAGTCAGAGCTGAAGAAGCTTCTTGGATGAGAAGCGAAGCATCTTCAGAGAAAAACAAGAAAGTCCAGTTGCCTCCTGAAGAAGCACCTTTGGGTTGGCCTTGCATGGTTTCCCCCTAATAAATTGAACCATGGAGGACATGGCAGGTCTCCGTGCGTGTAAGTAATTAATCAGTGGAAGGGCTTGCCTCCAGAGGTTGTGGGTGCTCCAACACTGGAGGTTTTTAAGAAGAGACTGGACAGTCACTTGTCTGGAATGGTATTGGGTCTCCTCCTTGAGCAGGGGGCTGGACAGGAGGGGTTTAGCAGCGGAACCACTTTCTCCAAAAGAGTGTCAGCTCTCTGGCAGTGAAAATATTCAGGCAGAGAGCAGAGACCCTTTCCAGTTTGGTGATTCTGTGTGTCTGAACTCTTAGCAGGTGCTAGGAATCTGCCTTGGGTTGTCCTCTAATGTTGATCAACCCTCTCGTTCTCCTTTTGGACACCAGTGGAACAACCTGCCTCCAGAAGCGGTGGATGCTCCAACACTGGAAGTTTTTAATAAGAGATTGGACAGCCATTTGTCCGAAATGGTATAGGGTTTCCTGCCTGAGCAGGGGGTTGGACTCGATGACCTCCAAGGTCCCTTCCAACTTTATTATTATTATTATTATTATTATTATTATTATTATTATTATTATTATTATTATTATTATTATTATTATTATTATTATTATTATTATTATTATTATAGATCCCAGAGATTCTGCCTTTTCGTAAAAGGTGTTAGTCAGAAAAGGTGCTATCGGAGTGACTCCTTCTGCTTTTCAGTTTCGGCCCTCTTACATTGACCTCTTCCAGCCCTTATCCATGTTTGCCCTTTTTTTTCCCTCTTCCTCTGCAGAGGACCATCAATATCACTTTGGATCACAGGTGCCGGATCTTCCAAAATCTTAATGGCGCTCTAGGTGAGAATCCGTGGGGAACAAAAGGGTGTTTCCTGCCATCAAAAATAAAATCCTGGCCCTCTTGATTCTCCCACTCTTGCTGGAGAGCTATAAACAAGCTTCATGGGACCTGGGAGTCTCCGAGGCCGTTGACCTCTGCCCAAATCACTTGTTTGGTTTGCCAGGCAGTTCCATTTGGACTCAAAGGACAGCTTTCCTTTAAAAATGGAGCTCGGGCAGCAGATTGTACAAGAAGCAGCAGCTACAAGCTTGTTTTACAGTTGACAGAAAATGTGGGATGACTCTCCCTTATTCACATCTCCCCTTCCTGATGCTGCATGGATTATTTTATTATCTGCTATTCCTTGCCTAGACTAGGTTTAACTAACATCTTTAGAGACTTTTTTTTGTTGTTTTAGTCAAACTGGGTGGATTGCTCCTAAAATGCACTCCTGTTGCATCAGGTGGGAAAGGCTATATACCTTGGGTTGGAGTGGGTGT